TGGCCCTGGCTTGCTGCTTGCCCTGACGGTTCTGCCCTTGGAACGCCCCTTGCCGGGCGGATCCCCACCTCTGGGTCTTTCTGGGGGTTCTTCCCACTGCCTCGGTGGGTGCGGGGGAAAAGGGTGCTTCCGCCCTTCTGGAGTGCCCTGGCTGGATCCACTCCCCCAGGATGTCCTGCATGTACGCGATGTGCTCCGCAAACGGGGCAAAGTGGGCGAGGAGCCGTTCCGCCCATTTCCCGCGCATATGGAGTTCCAGCGCTCGCTGGGTCGTGGGCTCCATTTCCCTTATTTTGCCCGGGCGCCAGTGCCTCCACTTCAGAAGCTCCGGTTGTTGGAGTGGGGGTGGGTCATCTCGTGAGAACCACCTCAATTGGTCCTGGCGGTCCCATTCATTCTCCAGCGGGGAAAAGTCCTCGCTCGGCTTGCCATCCGCCGTCGCCAGGAGGAGGAACCATAGGCTGTCCCACAGGTCGGCCAGGTCCGCCGCGGACAGAGGCTGGGGAAGCCTGCCTGCCGCCGACGCCACCAGGCCGTTGAAGTAGTCCGTCGGGACCACGTGGGCGTCTTGTCCTACCGGAATGCCCGAGAGTTCCAGGAGCTGAGAGAAGCGGATTGCCGGCTCTCCGCCCAGCTTCCTCCCCTCCTCCTCAGTGCCTTGGCGCAGGCACATCAGGACCAACAGCTCCCCGTCCGTCTGTCTCGGGGAGAAGGACTCATCCGCTAACGTGTCCCATAGGACCCTTGGAATGCGGTCCCAAAGACGCGTGTAAGGCGGGCGCATAAGAAACTTGGTAGATACCCTAGCCATGATGAAAAAGGGGGTTTCGAGCCTCCTATGGGACCCAACCGCGGCACAATGCATGCATGCTCCAACCTTGCAGAATGCAGAGTGCAGATGGAGCAGGCAGGCCACACGCATCCCGACAAGTCCCCCCCAAAGTCCCGAGATTTTAACCGGGAAAGGGGGGGAGCGCGACCCAAAATCAACCCCCCAAAAGCACGGAGGGGGGAGACCGACCAGGCGGGGGATTCCCCAAAACCCCAAGGGGACCTCAAGGAAACCAAGAGTCGGCCGCAGCCACTTTTTCTGAACCGTGGCTGAGATGGCCCGTCCTTGCACTTAGCCCCATGGTCGAGGAGATCAAGCTGCCGTGACGTGGCTCCACTGCCATGCAACCAGAAGAACCCACGTGCGCCACCAGAATTGAATAAGAGAGGAAACAGTGGTGAAAACCGAACCCAATAAGGAAAACCCTTTCCCCCTCCCCCCCCCGGAGACGGGGCCAAAGGCACCCAAGTCCCGGGAGGAAGAAATCACCTTCGCCACCGAGTGGATTGCCGCCAGCCCCGACTTCTCCGGGTTGCTCAGGATGACCGACCACAAGGCCGTGGAGACATCCCCCAGGCCGTTCGAGGAGCTGAAGCGCATGCGGGGGGTGCTCGCGTCGCCCAGGACCAGCCGCTCATCCCTGGGAGGCTCCGTTGGCTCCACCCTCTTGTAGAACTCCATCCGATCGCGGATCCACTGATTGTACAGCTGCTCCGGGGCTCGTCCATCACCAACTGCAAGCAGGTGGCCTTATCCCTGTGCCACCCCGTGATCTGGAGCAGCCTGGTCCCCCCGCGGCTCGCCTTCCAGAAGCCCTTGCAAAATCTGCACATATAGCCCGCCCGTGGTCTTGAACTTTTCCTTGCTCACCACTTCCCAGGCACTGATGCTTGGCAAGACCAAGCCACACTCCACGGAGCCCCAAAACACATGCTTCGCCTCCTTGGGGAAGTGCTTGTTGACGTACTTTTGGCCCGCAACCGCCGTGACCGTGGCCGTGGTGATGGGCGGGTACCGCCTGGTGCCCTGGTCTGGGGTGCGGAGTGTGGTGTCTGCCCCCCCCAGGACCTTGGCCTTTGGGTCCGCCTCCTTGGGCCGGATGAGGTCCTGGGAGTAGCTTAACCTGTCATACAAGGCCCCCGCCGCCTCCTGCAGGACCTGCTTGCAGCGCCAATTGACCTTCACCTCCACCATCGACGACTTGCTCAGGCCCGCCACCAACTTGGTGTAGACCGAGTCGAAGGCCTTCAGCGAGGCCAGCGGGAGGGTGATCCGTTCGTCGCAAATTGCCCTGAACCGCAGCGCCTCCTTACTGTCATGGATGGGGGCCACCGGCATCTCCATCACGGGCAACGGGCAGTTCACGATGAAATTCTTTGCCGCCATTGAAGATGTAACTCCACTCCTCCTTGCTGCGCGGCTTGGGGATGCCCAGGCTCTCCAGGAAGGGCACCGCCTCCTTCCTCATCTGGATAATGTTGCCCATCCACTTGTCCGAGGTCGAGCCCTCCGCATTGCGGCCCCGGCGTTGCGTCTTCACAATCAACGGGAAGGTGGTCCAGGCCGAGTAGATATACTTAAATGTGAACCTGTTCCCGTCAGGCTCGGCAGGTCCCACGTTCTCGTCTGTCTGGTCCAAAACACCCCATCACCCTTCGCCCAGAAGATGCCAACCACCTGCTCCGGTGCCGGGCGCTCGCCCTGAGCTCGGATCTCCAAGGCCGTGTAGATGACTGGGTCGATGTGGTCCTGCTCGCACGTGAATGGGTGAGTCCTGCGCTCAAGGGCCAGGAGCTCCTCCGGCGCGAGCTTAAACTGCTGGTCAGCGCCCCGGGGGATCTCACCGCTTGCGTGCTTCTTCCAAACCCCCCCAAACATCCGGAGCTCTCCCTGATGCCGCTTCATTGCCCAGAGGATAAGGGACAGCTTGCCTTCCTCAGAGTCCAGGTCTTGCTGGGACATGGGCTGGTCCCCCGGGGCCGGTGGCATCCTTGGGGGGGGCCGGTGCCTCCAGCTCGGGCATCTCCTCCAGCAGTGCCTCCTGGTGCCACGGGTTCTGCGACGCTCTGAGCATCTTGATGTAGGGGACATACTTCTCCTTGATGTCCCCCACCGGGGGGATGTCGTCGGGGTCATCCAGCTCCAGGGGGCAGAATAGGCCCCTCTCCAGGGCCTTCCTGAGATCATCCGGCCACGCCGACACTTCAATGGAGCCCATCTCAGCCAATGCCTGGCTGGCGTCAACGCCCTTCCCCTCCAAGTACTGGTCTCTCAGCTTGGCCTTGAAACGCTCCAGGTTGACCTTCCTGAGGGCACGGGCTCCCTCGTTGGCCACCTCATCTGACGGCAGGGCCTGCATGCCCTCCTGGAGGGGCGCCAGTCCAGCATCTCCTCAGTGACCAACTCCTTGTGCCGCCGCCTGGCCGAGGCCTCCTCCGGAGTCGGTTCCCGCTGCTCCCGCAAGGCCTTATGCAGCTCCTCCTTCTTCCTGATCGCCTGGTCCACCTAGGGATGGTAGAGCTCGAAGCTCTGAGCCTCCGCCTCCTTCAGGGACCGCTGCGCTTTGACCTTGATCTCCTGGCTTTCCCGGACCTTCAACGCCTCGTCGTCCGCCTCGGATGTCCACCCGCCTGTTAAGCGGGACCGCATCTGCCATGGTGATCTCATCCGCCGAGTCCGTTTTTTGGAGGGGCTCTTCCCAAGACCGTGCCGTCCACCAAGTTGCGGTCGGCCTGTGCCAGGGTACCACCGGGCCAACGGCACCCAGGCTTCCCCATTCCCGGCGACCGGCGCGTCGGCGTCGACGAGTGCGTGGGAGCTGTCCTGGACCTCTGCGGCGTCGGAGCCCGCGACCTTGACGTGGACGAAGACCCGCCGCTGTCGAAGCAGGGAGTAGGCCGAGATGGCCACCCCGCTGCTGGATCCAGGTCGGCTTGCCCTCCAAGATGAGCAGGTTGTAGGTGATGCCGTCCGCCTCATAGGTGGCCGAGGGTGCCTGGAAGGGGGCGAACTCCTTGCCGGGGCAGACCCAGCACTGCTTGGCTGCCTCTGGCCACCCCGTTCCGCATGCCTTGCACATGAACTTGTAGTCGGAATGACCTGCCTCGAGCCTGTACATGCGCTGGGTGCCGATACACGCCTTGTTCCTCTGGAACTGCGAAGCCCAGACCTCCTCCTGGCGGAGCTGGATCTTCATCGGGACGTACGCCTCCAAGATGCGGATCACCAGGTCCTCCGTGAGGTTCTTCCCAACAAACTTGTAAACAGGGAGACCGCCTCCTCCACCGTGATGTCTCTCAGCAAGGTGGCCGCCGACGCTGGAAGGACTGGAAACAGGTCTGGGAGGTCCACCAGCTTGAAGTACCCGGGTTTTCCGTCCACCGGCACCAAGGTGACAGGTTTGTTGGCCTGAGACGTAGCCTTCTGAGAAGCCGCCACGAAGCCCTTCAGTCTCTTCGTGGGTGGCGTCTGCGCCTCCTCCGGTGGTGTGGCCCGCTCCGTGCCGTCCGCATCCCCCATGTCCTTGTCGCCCTCCTCGGCGGGGCCAGGGGCACCCAAGCCGGGAGTCGGTGTGGCAAATGCCACTCGGAGACGCTCCAGTGCACTGGAGAGGTCCTTCATCACATCGGTCGCCGAAGCTGACGGGGGGGCCTCGGGCTCGTCCAAAACCAAGCCGGCCGCCACTGCCGCCTCCCGTGTGCGAATGTCCTGGGCCTCCTGGCTGGCCATTTCAACCTCCTCCACGGTGAGTGTCTGGTCCTCAATCAACTCAAAGGAAGTTGCCGAGGTTGCCGAGGAAGCCATTGCTTGGTCGGGGTTAAGTTCGAAAATGCAAAAGATCAAAGTTTTTCAATCAGCTTGGGTTCCAGGAACCCAGAACAATGCTTGAGCCAAAATGGCACATGCCATTGTGGTCAAGCATTCCACACACAGTTCATGTTTCCACATGCGTTTCAACATTAACAAATTACATTCATACACACATACATACATTACATTACATACATGCATGTATATATATATACATATGTGTATATATATATATATGTGTGTGTGTGGTTCAATGCTTAAATGATAATAATAATGATAATAACAATATTAAAACACAACACGTGTTTCAAGGAGTGGGGCGTGGCCTAAGAGGAGCAGCCGCAGCCCCCCAGATCTCCTGAACGGGCGGTCGCTGCACGGGATCTTTGGTCTCCGGCTCTTCGTCTGAGCTGTCGTCCTCCAACTCGGCCTGCGTCCCGAGTTTGGTCCGCCCCGCTGCGGGAAGGCCTCGTGTGTTTATTGCTGTACGTGCCATGACCTGAAAGGATAAACTTTGGGGACCTCGGCCAAAAGGATGGAAAAGAAGGGAGAAACGCCACAGGGGCAAAATTGCGCAAACAACCAGGCCCTGGAAACCAAAAGGTTCACCAACTGTGGTTTCAAAATATCCCAAGGGGGTGGCCGAACCCGAGTACAAACCCGTTTTGGAAGACGGCTTTCCTCTTAGAAAGGCGTCCTATGCGCCCTTCTGAGTGGTGGGAGGGCAAGTCAAAACCAATGATACAGGCCTAGGTGGGCAACATCCAGCCCGCGACTCGGAGAGTCCCAATAGGTGTGAAACTTGTCGGTTTGGCCCCTTCAAGGTCTGGTTTTGACTGCGACGCACCCAAACGCATCAGGCCCCGCCAAGGACCTCTCGCAGCCAACGCAAAACCATGCTTATGGAGCGTATCTGGGAGCCAGGGGAACCGGAACCTGAAGCTCCCCCAATCAACCATGTGTCAAGTTTCTTGCGGATCCGGCGGCAACCCTCCGACGGCCGAGATCCTGGGAGGGCCGGCTGCCTCCCCCCTTCCCCCCAAGCCGGCCGCAGGGGTGAGCATGCCGGGCCGGAGGATAAGCCTCGGTGACGGAAGCGCCGGTCACGGATGGCGCCGCCTGCCGATGCTTCCGATGCTGCTAGTTTCTGCTGTGACAAGAGCCGCCCAGTTCAACAGTTCGACTGCCAAGCAGCATGGTCGAGACTGCCACCATGCCCACACCCACACCCAGGTGCAAGTAGCTGTGCTGGTCAGCACTGATTCTTTCCTTGGCAACGCGCAAACCGGTAAGTCAGCTTGTTGCTGACGGACATGGGCTGTTTTTTAGTGGACAGCGTCGTGACCACAGAAGGGTGGGACACAGTGCTTCTATCAACCTTGTTCTACGCACTTGCATTCAATCATCCCATGCTGTGCCGAACATCTCGGTATGAGGTAGCATGGCTGCCGCTCATTTTTCTTCCACGGAAACATCTTCCCGCTCCAAAAAAACGGCCATGCCGCATTCTCAGGCAGTGGCCGGGTCGCTCAGACCTCACCAGGGCCAGGGGCCGGGGCCTCGATGACCTCCCACAGCGCAAAGCCGTTGGTGTTGACGTTGGAGAAGTTCACTCGGTCGAACTTCACCGTCACCGGGTACTTGATCTCCTAAGGCCACTCTCAACATGGCGCTCACTTTGGGAAACACGGCAGGTTCACAAATGACAGCGGGTTCTCAAAAAAAGGCCTGGCTTTAGCTACACGGGGCCAAGCGGCAAGTCAGCCCAATCTGCAGCCTAGTCTCAGCCTTCTGGTTCACATTGACCACCTGGCCTCGGGTCTGGTACCAGTAGGACTCCGGCCGCAGGATCTTGACCCAAGAGCCCTTCTTGGGGCCAACCCAAGGCGCCTTCAGCCACAGGACTCTCACGAAACGACTCTCGCGAAACTCGGCCCATACACCATCATGTATGCCCAGGCTCGCTCATGCGCCCGTGCTGTGCCCGCTCCCCATGCAATTCTGGGAATGTCTATCTAGCTCTCGCGGAAAGCATGACAAAGACATCCCAAGTAGTCCCTCCCCATCTCGCCCCTCACTCCAGCATCCTCCCACTCCCTTCCTCTCCCACACTCCCTCCCAGCGCCTTTGCCTTCTTCTTTGGGGCAGCCTCGGCGTTAAGCCTTGTAGCGCCGACGCTTCTGCCCTGGAACCCGCCCACAAAGGAGTAGCTGCCAATGAAGACGCTGAGGACAGCCAGGGCCAGCAGGCGACCGAAGCACGAGCGGGCCATTTTTGAGTCAAAGTGGAGTACTAGGCCCTACAACCCTCGTGCCGAAACAGCTGAGACAGCTGCGCAATCTGTGCGATCCCCCTGCACCTTGCAGTGAGGGGTAAGGTTGTGCATCCAACGGGGTGTACGGTGCCATTTCCCGTGTATCAGCCAACTTTAGCCACCGCATAGTAAAAGCTCAAGCTGACTGACGCCCCTTTTCTTCCACGGAAACATCTTCCCGCTCCAAAAAAACGGCCATGCCGCATTCTCAGGCAGTGGCCGAGTCGCTCAGACCTCACCGGGGCCAGGGGCCGGGGCCTCGATGACCTCCCACAGCGCAAAGCCGTTGGTGTTGACGTTGGAGAAGTTCACTCGGTCGAACTTCACCGTCACCGGGTACTTGATCTCCTAAGGCCACTCCCAACATGGCGCGGGTTATCAAAAAAAGGCCTGGCTTGGGCTACACGGGGCCAAGCGGCAAGTCAGCCCAATCTGCAGCCTAGTCTCAGCCTTCTGGTTCACATTGACCACCTGGCCTCGGGTCTGGTACCAGTAGGACTCCGGCCGCAGGATCTTGACCCAAGAGCCCTTCTTGGGGCCAACCCAAGGCGCCTTCAGCCACAGGACTCTCACGAAACGACTCTCGCGAAACTCGGCCCATAGACCATCATGTATGCCCAGGCTCGCTCATGCGCCCGTGCTGTGCCAGCTCCCCATGCAAGTCTGCGAATGTCTATCTAGCTCTCGCGGAAAGCATGACAAAGACATCCCAAGTAGTCCCTCCCCCATCTCGCCCCTCACTCCAGCATCCTCCCACTCCCTCCCTCTCCCCCACTCCCTCCCAGCGCCTTTGCCTTCTTCTTTGGGGCAGCCTCGGCGTTAAGCCTTGTAGCGCCGACGCTTCTGCCCTGGAACCCGCCCACAAAGGAGTAGCTGCCAATGAAGACACTGAGGACAGCCAGGGCCAGCAGGCGACCGAAGCACGAGCGGGCCATTTTTGAGTCAAAGTGGAGTCCTAGGCCCTACAACCCTCGTGCCGAAACAGCTGAGACAGCTGCGCAATCTGTGCGATCCCCCTACACTGCAAATCCAGACAGCATAAGCCAAATACATGAACATTGCCAATGTTCTTGCCCGTGGTACTTTTTCTGAGTGTTTCCGTCTCACATCATCTGACGGTTCACCTTGCAGTGAGGGGTAAGGTTGTGCATCCAACGGTGTGTATAGTGCCATGTCCCGTGCATCAGCTAGCCAATGCATAGTAAAAGCTCAAGCTGACTGCCGCCCCTTTTCTTCCACGGAAACATCTTCCCGCTCCAAAAAAACGGCCATGCCGCATTCTCAGGCAGTGGCCGAGTCGCTCAGACCTCACCGGGGCCAGGGGCCGGGGCCTCGATGACCTCCCACAGCGCAAAGCCGTTGGTGTTGACGTTGGAGAAGTTCACTCGGTCGAACTTCACCGTCACCGGGTACTTGATCTCCTAAGGCCACTCCCAACATGGCGCTCACTTTGGGAAACACGGAAGGGAACCTGCACCGCGCGTTACAAATGACAGCGGGTGCTCAAAAAAAGGCCTGGCCTTAGCTACACGGGGCCAACCGGCAAGTCAGCCCAATCTGCAGCCTAGTCTCAGCCTTCTGGTTCACATTGACCACCTGGCCTCGGGTCTGGTACCAGTAGGACTCCGGCCGCAGGATCTTGACCCAAGAGCCCTTCTTGGGGCCAACCCAAGGCGCCTTCAGCCACAGGACTCTCACGAAACGACTCTCGCGAAACTCGGCCCATACACCATCATGTATGCCCAGGCTCGCTCATGCGTCCGTGCTGTGCCAGCTCCCCATGCAAGTCTGCGAATGTCTATCTAGCTCTCGCGGAAAGCATGACAAAGACATCCCAAGTAGTCCCTCCCCCATCTCGCCCCTCACTCCAGCATCCTCCCACTCCCTCCCTCTCCCCCACTCCCTCCCAGCGCCTTTGCCTTCTTCTTTGGGGCAGCCTCGGCGTTAAGCCTTGTAGCGCCGACGCTTCTGCCCTGGAACCCGCCCACAAAGGAGTAGCTGCCAATGAAGACACTGAGGACAGCCAGGGCCAGCAGGCGACCGAAGCACGAGCGGGCCATTTTTGAGTCAAAGTGGAGTCCTAGGCCCTACAACCCTCGTGCCGAAACAGCTGAGACAGCTGCGCAATCTGTGCGATCCCCCTGCACCTTGCAGTGAGGGGTAAGGTTGTGCATCCAACGGGGTGTACGGTGCCATTTCCCGTGTATCAGCCAACTTTAGCCACCGCATAGTAAAAGCTCAAGCTGACTGCCGCCCCTTTTCTTCCACGGAAACATCTTCCCGCTCCAAAAAAACGGCCATGCCGCATTCTCAGGCAGTGGCCGAGTCGCTCAGACCTCACCGGGGCCAGGGGCCGGGGCCTCGATGACCTCCCACAGCGCAAAGCCGTTGGTGTTGACGTTGGAGAAGTTCACTCGGTCGAACTTCACCGTCACCGGGTACTTGATCTCCTAAGGCCACTCCCAACATGGCGCGGGTTATCAAAAAAAGGCCTGGCTTGGGCTACACGGGGCCAAGCGGCAAGTCAGCCCAATCTGCAGCCTAGTCTCAGCCTTCTGGTTCACATTGACCACCTGGCCTCGGGTCTGGTACCAGTAGGACTCCGGCCGCAGGATCTTGACCCAAGAGCCCTTCTTGGGGCCAACCCAAGGCGCCTTCATCCACAGGACTCTCACGAAACGACTCTCGTGAAACTCGGCCCATAGACCATCATGTAAGCCCAGGCTCGCTCGTGCGTCCGTGCTGTGCCCGCTCGCCATTCAATGCCGTTCAATTCAGTCTGCCCTCCCTCTCTCCCCACTCCCTCCCAGCGCCTTTGCCTTCTTCTTTGGGGCAGCCTCGGCGTTGAGCCTTGTAGCGCCGACGCTTCTGCCCTGGAACCCGCCCACAAAGGAGTAGCTGCCAATGAAGACACTGAGGACAGCCAGGGCCAGCAGGCGACCGAAGCACGAGCGGGCCATTTTTGAGTCAAAGTGGAGTCCTAGGCCCTACAACCCTCGTGCCGAAACAGCTGAGAGACAGCTGCGCAATCTGTTGCCATTTGCCATGAACAAGCGACTCATGACAACAGATCCTTTCCCCTGGCGTCAATGTGGCCACTGGCGCGTGTTTCCGGGGTGATTTCTCGGCGCAGGTTGCTCCCCAGTTCACGAGGCATACAGCGACACGACTCTGTCTCACCCCCTGCGTAAAGCCGGGTGGCAACTAAGCTTGGCATCTGGGACCAGTCTTTGCTGCCCGCATGTTCCTGCACAGCATGCTGAGGTCTGGGGGGTCAGGGGAGCCATCAGGAGCCCCAAAGAGCCCCCTACTTGCAAGTCGTTTGACTGTTTGGTCCCGAGGCTTACGAAAGGGGCCCTGCTCTCCTGCCAGGGGTGTCTCACTTTTTCTTTTTGCCTTTGTCATGAGAAGGCAATTGGTGGCGGCAAGCTAAGGAACTCTCCAGCCTTCTACAAGGAATGACCCCAGTTTCAACCACTTCGCCCCACAAATTCGCGTGGAAAGAATCAAAGACTTCGGGGGCACCTCCGTTTGAGGCACCTGAGTTCTTGAAGGTCGCGCGTCCTTGCCCAAGTCCGTGGGTAGCTCGTGAGGGCGATATGCTAGGCTGCTGGATATGGACAGGACCGCCGACACCTCAGCTGGCGGTTTCGATTTCCACGCGCTCGGGCAACCCGGGTTAAACCCGCAAACCCAGGTCTCCCCTGGCAAAAAACGAACTGAAGGAACTTAGAAGACGGGCTCCAAAAGGAAGCTCCTCCAAGTATGAGAGTTTTACGGGGCTCCATGCCATCTGCAAAGGAGCTTGCTCAGTGTCCTCAGCAAAAGTCATCATGCAGTGGATCAGTGGATATAGCTAACGAACAAAATGACAATTTCATTGATGCACTGACAGGCTTGATCGCCCAACTTGAAAAGTCAATGCCTTGAACTCTTCACTTTCAACACATCTGCAAAACAGGTTCTCTGACAAATGGAGATTGAACAACCGCAACCTTCATGTTTGTCCCTCCTGGCAAAGAGATGCCACAGAGGGTCATCACAATGCGGCACCACTGTGCTTTTGGAAATCCAAAGGCCCTGGCAATGTGCGGCGTCATGTTGGCAAACTCAAACTGGGCTGAGTTGAGCCGTCCAAAGCGGCTGCAAATGCCCTCGGTATGCTAAGGATGGCTCACACCGCACCAGGAGCAACCAGTGGGAACCCCTTCTTTGGTTGACAATTTCGGAGCGGATCACCCACCAAACCAAAAGGGCAAAAGTGCACTGAACGTCCTGCTCCACACCAATAGCGGCCTAACTCAATATCCGGAGCGCAGTTCAGCGCGGGGCCGCGATGTGTTTCCTTTTGTTCTTTCTACCCATCTCGGGCTGCAAAACGCGATGCCGAAGGCAGAAACGCCGTGCCCTGAAGCAACAGGGTCGTGTGACACATCATGAAGACTGGCCGCTGAGGCAAACAAACAGGGAACAAGAGCGCAAGCGCACACAGTCCATGGACATCAATGCAGCAGCCAACAATTCCTGCGCTAAGCGTCCACGATGCTTTGCATACACAGACGTATCTTCGGAAACGAAATGCCGGCATAATGCCTCCAAGAGGAGATCCTCCCAGACTATGTGAATGGGCCATGTTGCGCCCCTTCCGGCAAAGTTCTAAAGGTCATGCTCAAGGGCTAGGGGTGGGGGGCCTACATTTTGCTGAAGATCGGGCGACATTTCATCAGCCCCCACCATGGAGCCCACGGGAAGGCCACCGGCAGCTGAGAGTTCCAAGCCCCGGGCTGGAAGCAAACTTGGCCATGGCATCTCCCAGCTTTGGAATATGGGCCCCGAAGGGACATGGACGTCCGACTTCGGAAACCAACCGGGGGGGGTGAGTCCAACCAGTCGACATGTTCATTGAAGCTTCATGGCCCGGCCTTGCGAACTCGCGAACCAGCTTCAGGCAGCCTCGGGTTTCTCCTCGCGGGCCTGGCAGGGCCGAAACGCGCCAATCGAAGACACAGGAACCCAACCCCCCCTCTCCCCCAAGGTTCGACGACCAGTCCAAAGTCCAAGACCCTGTCGAACAATGCTCCTGAGCTTCATAGGAAAAATCTGGCGGTCATTTCAGCGACCGCAAGGTCGCACTGGGCTTTCTGGACCTTTCCAAGCTGCCCTCCGGAAAGTTGGCCTCGGACCCGTTGGAGACCCGCGTCCGAGGGAAGAAGCTCGCCTTCGCCTTGTCGGCCTTCTTGGCTTCTCGGTTCTTCCGCTCCTGGAGTCAAAGCGAGAAAGGACCCGTGAAGTGTTACCAAAGTGGTCCCCACTGCTTCGCTTGAGGGCCATTGGTATCACAGCAAGTGGCCCTCACCCCAGCTTTGTTGGATCGTGGTCTTAAGAATATCGCTTCCAGCAGGGCGTCACTCATCTGTGCAGTCTATGCTTTGTACCTGCCTCTTGAGTCTTTGCTCGCCTGTGCCAGCAGAGCACCGGTTCCTCTACGGATTCGAAACAAACGCACCCGGAAGAACTTTGGGAACCCTCAACATGTATAACCACCTGAAAAGACTCAAAGTTCAGGATCCCCCTGCCTCACAACACAAAAATTGCCCCCTTTCCAACGATGGAAGTGGACGGAGGCTCTCCGAAAGGAAACGGCTGGCTTTTGAACAAACGGCGCGCTTTGGAACGGAATAAACAAGTGAACCCTCCTCTTTGTTCATGGAAGCAAAAAAGGGTTGTTTGTTCAGAGAATGGTCGTCTTCCCAAATCCTCCAATCAACTTCCATTGGAAAGGCTACTCGCAACCCCGCCCAATCCCGGTTCCTCCGCTGCTTGCAGCAGGGCGTCTTCCAGCTCCTAGCGGCTCTCTTGCCAAACCCATGGAATGAACGCCTTTGCTTCTCTTTTTGTGAAGCCGAAAAGCCAAGAAGCCAAGAAGCCAAAAGCG